CCCCCCCAATGTAGTGTCGTTATACTATGTCCATTCAACACCGGCAGGTCCTGCCACGATGCACAAATGTTTCACTTCATATTGATACAAAATGTTTTACTTTAGATGTTCTTAACATTGTATGCATTAGGGACAAATAATGAAAGATGAACGTAACACACACACAGGTGGTAGCACCTTTAACAGTTGATTAACTGCTGGGTCCCTCTAGGACTTGTCGGTGATTGTAGGAGCCAACGAGTTGGAAATCCAAATAGTCTAAATAGCTGTACAAACAGAGGCAGGTTCGTAAAACCCCGTTGATTAATGAATTTTCAAAATTGATAGGAGTATTGATTAACAGCATGAGCGCTTCATGGTAAAACAAATATAGTGCCAAATGTGCGTGAAGAAAGAAGATTTTGCCGTATTTCTGCTAATAATTCCTACATCCGTCTGACCTGACAGTGATGATGATTAATCATTACTCCTATACCAATCTGCCCCCGCTTGACGTTACGTTTTTCTTTGGCAGGTGGTGGCGGAAACCCTAAAGGTCGCTGGCGAGGCCGGTGAAGTTATAGTTCGGAAGGCAGTGGAATACGAGGCAGACATGATTGTAACCGGATGTCGTGGTTTGGGCCAGATCCGGCGGACGATGATGGGCAGTGTTAGTGATTATATCATCCATCACGCTCATGTCCCCGTACTTATCTGTCGTCACGAATGAATGACGTCATCATATTCTAATGGGAAATTTACTTCGAAGACATGTACCATATTAAAGATTAGTAATTGTGTGGTGATTTCAACATTTTGACTTTAATATCGGGATTTTTAATTACATTCATGCCAGTATGAAGAAAAATTGAGTATAGTATAATTATATGAATCCCGCTATGAATTCCTGTTGGCCAATATCGACTTGAATGTTAAAAAGCTCACTTATATACATTTATCACATCGCCCTGTTATCCAGTGAATTCGCCCGTGTAATATTTTTACATATGTCACTAGTGTAATATACCCTGGAGCGTTTTTCATTGACTGTGCCAGTCAGAAATCGATGGTGACGTCATAATATGGACAATGACGTGACGTCATAAATTGTGAATTGCGCAACAAAATGGCTGTCTCTGTTTGGTTAAGCCCTCTACATTATGGCTTTAAAACCTGTCAAAATCCTATATATGTTTAATTTCATAGTTAATATAACTAGCCGAGTAAAAGTACTGTACTAACGTTTACAGTGTTGATGTGTGTCTGTACCGCAAAAGATATTTTTGGAACAGGTTAAAATCACCTTGATGTTTGTATTTTGCGACGATCTAATCTATTTAAGAAGGGAGGAGACGAGAAACGCGGTCATACATGTAGTCCTATGAACGCAATTCAACTGATTCATATGTTGTATATGGTTATAAATGGTATCAGGGTTATATTTTCAGTTACAAGAGGCAGATTTACAACATTATTAGCAAGTTCAACTTATACCGTTTCTAATTTTTGTTTTCGTTCTGCAAGTAAAAAAAACGCAAGGTCGAGATATTACATATTTACGAGATTAGATTTGCTTCGGGTCATGCCAAGAACAGATGTTACGATGATTTACTAACCAGACGGGATGCTGCAAGTGTACAGTAAACGTAGATAGTTTATGCTCAGTTACAGGCGGTCACAGTATGATTGTCCAGACATACTGTAGTAGCAGCATTGCTGCGGCCTTAATAAACCTTTACTGTAAATATGTATAGACGAGATGATACGGTTTCATAGATCGATGGTATATATCAACAGACGGAGAGATGCTTTGGCTTAACGCATTGCCCTTGTAAAACGGTCTTAAATGAGTTAGAAACAGCGTTTATACACAAACACTTCGTTCACCATTTTAAAATTAACCTTGGAATGTCGGGCCATAAAATGGTTGTGCTGATCTGTATGGATGGAAGCAAACACTCGGATTACGCCCTTAAATGTAAGTATACTCCTTAACATAGCATTTTTTTCCGTTTATTACATAGGTAACTGTTTTGTAGGACAGTTCTGTCTGAATAATTATATATACATGTAACTGTAACTGTGGACGGATTGGTCCAGTGGTTAACACTCCGGCCTTCCACGCAGGCGACCGGGGTTCGACCCCCGAAGTCGTCGTACGCATGGATATTCAGAGAAGGTATTTTTCTCCTGCCCACACAACTCCCAAAACCCAAGTGGGGTATAAATTGTTCTGAGGTGGATGTTGCGGTATCTGTGAAGTAGCATTCAAGTGAGGTTGCACTATAAATGATGCCGTTGGAAGCACGGTCCCACTACAAACAAAACACATTACATCTCCAGCACACACGCAGGCATACACACATAGGTATTCGAGATATTAGCCAGGTGGCATAGAACTAGTAGTAAACGGCTGATAAGACAGCTCCTGCGAATGTACTTTAAAGCGCTTTAGAGTGGCTTATGTTAGCTAGACAGGGCGCTATATCAAATGTTGTATATTATTATTATTATTTAACTGTTCTATAGGACTGTTCTGTCTGATGAATTTTACAACGAATTAAAACACACTTGTGTGCTATTTTTATATGGAACATGGAAGAATGTAGAACTAGGACTGTTCTGTCTGTACACATACAAGTAACTAAGCTGTAGTACTGTTCTGTCTGTACACATACAAGTAACTAAACTGTTCTGTAGGACTGTTCTGTCTGATCAATTTTATATACAACGAATAAAAACACACTTGTGTGTTTTTTTTATATGGAACATGGAAGAATGTAGAACTAGGACTGTTCTGTCTGTACACAAACAAGTAACTAAGCTGTAGTACTGTTCTGTCTGTACACATACAAGTAACTAAACTGTTCTGTAGGACTGTTCTGTCTGATCAATTTTATATACAACGAATAAAAACACACTTGTGTGTTATTTTATATGGAACATGGAAGAATGTAGAACTAGGACTGTTCTGTCTGTACACATACAAGTAACTAAGCTGTAGTACTGTTCTGTCTGATTATATACAATTTTCTATCTGTACACATACAAGTCACTGTTCTGTAGAACTGTTCTGTCTGTACACATACAAGTCATTGTTCTGTAGGACTGTTCTATCTGATTATATATAACTGTTCTGTCTGTACACATACAAGTCACTGTTCTGAAGGACTGTTCTGTCTGATAATATATAACTGTTCTGTCTGTACACATACAAGTCACTGTTCTGTAGTACTGTTCTATCTGATTATATATAACTGTTCTGTCTGTACACATACAAGTCACTGTTCTGTAGTACTGTTCTATCTGATTATATATAACTGTTCTGTCTGTACACATACAAGTCACTATTCTGTAGTACTGTTCTATCTGATTATATATAACTGTTCTGTCTGTACACATACAAGTCACTGTTCTGTAGTACTGTTCTATCTGATTATATATAACTGTTCTGTCTGTACACATACAAGTAACTAAGCTGTAGAACTGTTCTGTCTGATTATATATAATTCACATACAAGTAACTAAACTGTTTTGTAGAACTGTTCTGTCTGATTATATATAACTGTTCTATCTGTACACATACAAATAACTAAACTGTAGTACTGTTCTGTCTGTACACATACAAGTAACTAAACTGTAGTACTGTTCTATCTGATCATACAAGTCACTGTTCTGTAGAACTGTTCGGCCTGATTATATATAACTGTTCGGTCTGTACACATACAAGTCACTGTTATGTAGGACTGTTCGGACTGTTTATATATAACTGTTCTGTCTGTACACATACAATATAACTAAACTGTAGTACTGTTCGGTCTGATTATATATAACTGTTCTGTTTGTTCACATACAAGTAACTAAATTGTAGGACCGGTCTGTATGATTATATATAACTGTTCTGTCTGATTATATATAACTGTTCCGTCTGATCATATATAACTGTTCTGTCTGATTATATATAACTGTTCTGTCTGTACACATACAAGTAACTAAACTGTAGTACTGTTCTATCTGATTATATATAACTGTTCTGTGTGTACACATACAAGTCACTGTTCTGTAGAACTGTTCGATCTGATTATATATAACTGTTCTGTCTGTACACATACAAGTCACTGTTCTGTAGTACTGTTCTATCTGATTATATATAACTGTTCTGTGTGTACACATACAAGTCACTGTTCTGTAGAACTGTTCGATCTGATTATATATAACTGTTCTGTCTGTACACATACAAGTCACTGCTCTGTAGTACTGTTCTATCTGATTATATACAACTGTTCTGTGTGTACACATACAAGTCGCTGTTCTGTAGAACTGTTCTGTCTGATTATATATAACTGTCACTGTTCTGTAGAACTGTTCTGTCTGATTATATATAACTGTCACTGTTCTGTAGAACTGTTCTGTCTGATTATATATAACTGTTCTATCTGTACACATACAAGTCACTGTTCTGTAGGACTGTTCTGTCTGATTATATACAAATGTTCTATCTGTACACATACAAGTCACTGTTCTGTAGAACTGTTCTGTCTGATTATATATAACTGTTCTATCTGTACACATACAAGTCACTGTTCTGTAGGACTGTTCTATCTGATGATATATAAATGTTCTACCTGTACACATACAAGTAACTAAACTGTAGTACTGTTCTGTCTGTACACATACAAGTAGCTAAACTGTAGGACTGTTCTGTCTGTACACATACAAGTAACTAAACTGTAGTACTGTTCTGTCTGATTATATATAATTCACATACAAGTAACTAAACTGTTCTGTAGGACTGTTCTGTCTGATTATATATAACTGTTCTATCAGTACACATACAAGTAACTAACCTGTAGTACTGTTCTGTCTGTACACATACAAGTAACTAAGCTGTAGAACTGTTCTGTCTGATTATATATAATTCACATACAAGTAACTAAACTTTTCTGTAGGACTGTTCTGTCTGATTATATATAACTGTTCTATCAGTACACATACAAGTAACTACCCTGTAGTACTGTTCTGTCTGTACACATACAAGTAACTAAACTGTAGTACTGTTCTATCTGATTATATATAACTGTTCTGTCTGTACACATACAAGTCACTGTTCTGTAGTACTGTTCTATCTGATTGTATATAACTGTTCTGTGTGTACACATACAAGTCACTGTTCTGTAGAACTGTTCGGTCTGATTATATATAACTGTTCTGTCTGTACACATACAAGTCACTTTTCTGTAGGACTGTTCGGTCTGTTTATATATAACTGTTCTGTCTGTACACATAAGTCACTGTTCTGTAGAACTGTTCGGTCTGATTATATATAACTGTTCGGTCTGTACACATACAAGTCACTGTTCTGTAGTACTGTTCCATCTGATTATACATAACTGTTCTATCTGTACACATACAAGTCACTGTTCTGTAGTACTGTTCTATCTGATTATATATAACTGTGCTGTGTGTACACATACAAGTCACTGTTCTGTAGAACTGGTCTGTCTGATTATATATAACTGTTCTGTCTGTACACATACAAGTCACTGTTCTTTAGTACTGTTCCATCTGATTATACATAACTGTTCTATCTGTACACATACAAGTCACTGTTCTGTAGGACTGTTCTGTCAGATTATATAGAACTGTTCTATCTGTACAAATACAAGTCACTGTTCTGTAGAACTGTTCTGTCTGATTATATATAACTGTTCTGTCTGTACACATACAAGTCACTGTTCTGTAGTACTGTTCCATCTGATTATACATAACTGTTCTATCTGTACACATACAAGTCACTGTTCTGTAGGACTGTTCTGTCAGATTATATAGAACTGTTCTATCTGTACACATACAAGTCACTGTTCTGTAGAACTGTTCTGTCTGATTATATATAAATGTTCTCTCTGTACACATACAAGTCACTGTTCTGTAGAACTGTTCTGTCTGATTATATATAACCGTTCTATATGTACACATACAAGTCACTGTTCTGTAGGACTGTTCTATCTGATTATATATAAATGTTCTATCTGTACACATTCAAGTAACTAAACTGTAGTACTGTTCTGTCTGTACACATACAAGTAACTAAACTGTAGTACTGTTCTGTCTGATTATATATAATTCACATATAAGTAACTAAACTGTTCTGTAGGACTGTTCTGTCTGATTATATATAACTGTTCTATCTGTACACATACAAGTAACCAACCTGTAGTACTGTTCTGTCTGTTCACATACAAACAAGTCACTGTTCTGTAGAACTGTTTTGTCTGATTATATATAACTCTTTTGTAGGACTGTTCTGTCTGATTAATACATAACTGTTCTGTATGTACACATACCAGTCACTGTTCTGTAGAACTGTTTTGTCTGATTATATATAACTGTTTTGTATGTACATATAAAAGTAACTAAACTGTATAACTGTTCTGTCTGATAATATATAACTCTTTTGTGGGACTGTTCTGTCTGATTATATTTAACTGTTCTGTCTGTTCACATACAAACAAGTCACTGTTCTGTAGAACTGTTTTGTCTGATTATATATAACTCTTTTGTAGGACTGTTCTGTCTGATTAATACATAACTGTTCTGTAGGTACACATACAAGATAATAAACTGTAGTACTGTTCTGTCTGTACACATAGAAGTAACTAAACTGTAGTACTGTTCGGTCTGATTATATATACCTGTTCTGTCTGTACACATACACGTCACTGTTCTGTAGGACTGTTCGGTCTGATTATATAGAACTGTTCTGTCTGATTATATATATATAACTCACATATAAGTCACTGTTCTGTAGAACTGTTTTGTCTGATTATATATAACTCTTTTGTAGGACTGTTCTGTCTGATTAATACATAACTGTTCTGTATGTACACATACCAGTAACTAAACTGTAGGACTGTTCGGTCTGACTATATATAACTGTTCTGTCTGATTATATATCCCTGTTCTGTCTGTACACATACA